TGGGGGGTGTTCCTCGTCCTTCTGCATGAGGAAGTGAGCTTGCAAGTGTAGCAGCAAGTGCCTTGAGAGCCACGAAGAGAGAAATCTAAGTCAGAAGAGGCACCCAAAAGGTGCATGTTGGTTCCTTGAAAACATCAGAGCTCTCAGAAGTGGCCTCCTGCATCCTGTGGGCCTGACTCATACCTGCCTGCTAATGCCATGGGTGAAACAGGAGAAGGGCACTGGGCTGAGGATTGCCAAGGGAGGAACACAAGGGCAGTATCCAGTGATGCAAACTGAAAAGAGGATTAAAAAGAACGTTCTCAACATTTCCCTGAGACTAGCTCAGACAGGAGGAATTTCTCTGGCTCCAGGGAGTGATGCTGTGTGTCCATGTCAGTGGGGAGCCTTTGGCTGTGGCACTGGCCGAGCAGCATCTGCAGCAGCCAGGAAGGGTGACCACGGTGCAACCTGTTTGACTCAGTGTCTGGAGGCCAGGAAGGACACAAGCTGCCTTATGTTGTGCTTCGTGTTTTGGGCTTTACGCAAACCACCTCTTCAGCAGACGTCAACACTCGGGAGAAGTAGATGCAGACTTTCCAGATTCTCTTCTGCTTGTGGTTACCTCCCCACTGTGGCGTGATGGGGAAGGAACAGGGAGGTTGCAGGGATGCATGATGGATGGGTATTTGCTGTCAGTGTTCCTCTGCTGTGAAACGTCTCTGCTCCCCAGTTATTTCTGATTTCTCCTTGCAGAGAGCTCAGCTGAGCCCACAGTCAGTTTGGGACTCAGTGCCTGGGAGCAGCTGATAATGTACTCATGCTGGGTTAAGATTTTCCAGAAAAGAGATAACATTTGCAGATGGCTTGGGCCGACTCCATTGGCTGCAGCTTTTTTATTGATAGACGACAGCAGTACACACCACCAAGCAATGGAAAGCTTTAAAAGTGTCCTCCCTCACCCTGCTTGGTTGCCAGTTCTTGGGTTGATAGTTTCTCTCCTTGCCTCTTGTGTGTCTACCATAGACCCCAGTGCTGTTCTTCAGACTTCCTTGTACCTTTTCTGCACTGAGGAGCTCTGTGTCCTCTGTCATTCTTTTCTCAGCATACCCCAAAGAGATAGAGGCAGCCCTTCCAGACACAGGTTTTTCATCTATTTTTTTCCTCCCACACAGCTTTCTTTTCCAGTGGATTCACTTTGCCAGGTAACGGTTTCCAAAGAATCCATTCTAAATTTCCAATATTTAACATCAGATTTTCTGGTCTTGGAAACAGTAGGTCGTTGCCAACCCAAAGTTTAGGGACTGATTGCACAAGCAGACTAGCTAGCCATTCTGAAGGGACAATAACACTTAGGAGCCAAGCAGTGGTGAGCAGTTGGCAGGTGGTGAGGAACAACAGGATGATCCTTCCACTTGCAGTGCCATAACCAGAGGAGACTGGGAGCAGAGGAGAATCACTCACTTATGGACCATCTGCATGGCACGTGTCTGCACTTGAGATGCTGAGCCTGGATTTCCTTTCTGGTCAAGGGTCCACTGTAGCCATGGAGTAAGAGTATGATTTAGTAAGGTTTTTGTCTTTCAAAAGCTGCCTTTTCTTTTTTTCCCCCCATTGGCTATAAAAGAAGCCTAACTAAACTTTAGGCTTTTTAAGTGAACTGAACCCAAACATGATAGCATCCTTCACATTAAGGGTGTAGTCCTACCTAAGGCACTACCATTTGTGCAATGTCCTAGTTCATGGACAAGATGACCAGTGAGGCTCTCCACTGGCAGCCCAGCTGTGAGGGAATTTTCTTTCAAAGACAGGTTTTGTACTCAAACCCATAAACTTTCACCCTGAGGTAAATAGTCCAGATAACATAATTCCACAGCAGCCCATCCCAACCCAACCTTTTCCTCCCCTCCCCTCTCACTGATCAACTCTTGGCCTTTACAAAGTGATAATAAAAGACCACACAAAGATAATTGCTCATAATAGTCAGGAAGGAGCTTTGCCAGCTTCAGGAAGGTCCTCATGGTATGTTCTTGTCCAGGAACCAAACCAGCAAAGTGCTGTGGAAGATGTTTGACCACCCTAACATATGGTGAGAATTTAAAGCAAATCTCAAGTGTTTGTTTTGGAAGGTCACTGATTTTTGAAGACTGAAGTTTTGAGTGGTTTGTTTTATTTATTTTTTTTTTTCCCCCAGCAGCTGAGTATTATCATCACTGCTCTGGGAAAAAAAAAAGAGTTTTCAAACTCTAATGAGCATCTCATGAATTTTGGAGGAGCCTAGGGCAGCCATGCTAAAAATGTGCAGGGCAAATACTGAGTTGTGGTTTTCTGCAGTGTTGACTTTGAAGGAACTGGGCACTTTAACAGTGAAATGGCACCAATTTCAATGAAGGAACTGATAAAATGGATGTTTAAAGGCAAGTTTCTCCTGTTCAGCTGAACGGTGGCGATATTTTACACTCATGTATTGCTTTTCAACAAAGCTCCTTCAAGATAAGCACAAATAAAATTGATCTCACACATCTATGTGAGATCAGGAAACCATATTTACCTGTAATTTACAGCATGAGGTAGAGGAGAAGTTAGGCTATTTTTTTCCCCCCCCAATTCCTATGATTATGTCTAGTTTTGGCAAGCTGGTTATAGAAGATGACTGAATATCTCTCAAGTGTGTAGGTAGGAGATGGTATTGATAGAAGGTTGCAAAATGTTAACTGCTCTGTCTGCCACCCAAGAAAAAGTGATGAGACTTTCTTCATTTTGGGCTCCAACACTGTTTGCAAACATTTCTGCCATTTATTGTGTGCAGGTGCCATCCCTACTTTGGTGTTAAGTTTCTCAGCAGTCAAATGTGGTTAAGCTTTTTCTGCCCATTCCTCTCAGTCCTTTGGAGATATTAAGTGGCCCACGTAGGAGAAGAAGAGGCTGTGCATGCTGTTGGGAGCTTGCCTGGTTTCAGCAGAGTTTGAGGGCACTTGGATGCTCTCAGGGGCAGAGCTGGGAGGGTCTCTGTTATCTTTATTTGGTGACATAGTTCCTTGAATGCAATGAATCTTTCTGGATTGCTTTGTGTGTGTGTTTTGCAAACTTGGTGTGACTTCAGGGCTCATTTCCACTAGCTGAAGGGCAGAGATGGAAATGGGGAGGGATGGTCTTGAAAGCAGCGTTTTGATTTCTTACAGCAAAGAGGATCATATCTACCCCTGACAAGAGTGAGGGTGGAGAATGGGTGACATCAAACTGCTCTGAAGCTTTGGTCTTTGCCTCCCTAATTTGCACTGGTGTGACTGAGAAGAATATATGGGATTTAAAATTTTACCTTCTCACTTTTTTACAAACCAAAGAATCACTATTTTGTGAGGTGATGTTGACAGGGAGACACGGCTCCACTCTCCTCATTCTCAGATGGGGGCAGAAAGCAAGTCAGGGATGCTCCAAGGACTGGAACTAGACTCTTGGCAGTGATTTGTATCTCATAAACATGAGATCACAGTATGGCATCTAGTGCATATTCTGCTTCTTTGTTAAACAAAGAACGTGGGGAAAGAGTTCTTCTTTTTAAAATTCTTGCTCTTTCTGCTTCTTTTGATTTGAACTTTCTTTAGTGCCAAAGTTTGTGGGTTGGGGGAGAGGGAGGGGAATCCTTGGGAGGTTGCAGGGGAAGGAGAAAGAGTCATTTCTTAATATCCCTCCCTAAGCAGAGATAAGGCTGACTGAGCCCCTGCTGACAGCAGGCTCTGCTTTCTTTCCACAGTCTCCATCGAAGATATTCGGGATGTGAGGTCAGGCCATAAAACAGAAGGTATGGAAAAATACGCCAAGGACGTCCCGGAGTATCGCTGCTTTTCCATCATCTTCAAAGACCAGCGGAAGAACCTGGACCTCATCGCCAACTCGGAGGACGATGCCAACCACTGGATCTCCGGCCTTGCGAAGATCATAGCCCACAGCAACTCCATGAACCAGAAACAGAAACTCCAGCAGTATCCTTTGCCTGACAAAGGGGTTGATCACGGACAAAGATGCGCTTGTCCCGGTCTGTGGGTGGAGGCAGCAAACTGACCCTTTTTTCCTGCTGGCCCTGGGCACTGAGTTTTCTCTCGCACTGATTTTGCACCCGGGCAGTCTCTCTGGTTTCCAGTGCTTTTTCCTCCTGTTTTACACTGATACCAGCAAGAGTGGATTAGGGCTTCATGTAGCTCCTTAAGCAAAGAATTGCCTCATTCAAGGAGCTCCAGATAAAACAATAATTTTTTTTTTTGTATTTTGCAGGGGTCTGTTTCACTTGCATTGCAGTAAACTCCAGGACAGGCACTTCTTGGCAAGGCATGAAAAGCCTGTACTGTTTATCATGTTTCTCAGCCATGCAAGGCAAGGCAACTGACTCTCCTCTTCCAGCTGCCAAATTTACTCTGAGGTAGCTCCACTGACTTGAGTGAAATTATTCCTTATTTGCCTCAGCATGGGAGGAAGTTTTTGCCCTGACAAGGCAGGCATTGGAAAGGAAAATCGTAGAATCGTAGAATCATTAAGGTTGGAAAAGACCTCTAAGATTATCAAGTCCAGCCATCACCCAACACTACCATGACCACTAAACCATGTCCCCAAGTGCCACATCTGCATGTTTTTTGAACCCCTCCAGGGTTGGTGACGCCAGCACCTTTCTGGGCAGCCTGGGCCAATGCCTCACCACTCCTTCAGGAAAGAAATTCTTCCCAATATCCAATCTAAACCTCCCCTGGTGCAAAAGGAGAAGAACAGGAAAGGAAAGTGGCTTAGCTGTGAAATGGAGAGTGAGGTAGTTATTGGGGGAAACCCTGGCTCTGCAGAATTCCCAGGGAATTTTCCCAGGGGCTGCATTTCACTCAATAAGTTGCTTTGTGACCACAGGTCTCATCCAAATAAAAACAGAAAATATCTGTGGGTTGATTTCACCCTGATTTGACAGATCTGCAGCAGTCATCAAATATTAAGTTCCTTTGAGTTTCACAGAGTTAGGCATCCAGCTATCAGAGAGGAAAGCAGATATCACTCTCAGTGAGAGAAGGCTGCATGAGCTTCATGCCTTGTCCAACATCAAAGCATCTGTAGAGAGGAGGGAGATACAAAATCCTCAGCTGGGGAAGATCACAAAGCTGGAGTCTGAGCCTGAGCAGGCACCAGGGAGTCTTGCCCTCAGTCAAGGCTTCACTCCATATGGGTTCCCTGCTGGGTAATAATGTACTGATGGTGAAGGAGATGGCACATAAATGCTGAGCTTTCCTCAGGCTTTGCTCTTCTGTGGATTTTCTGAAGCCTAATAAGCACTTGCACAACCATAGTGCTGCTCACTTAAAGGAATCAGACCCCACTAGTTCTGATGTGCATGGGATGCTGTTTATCTCCTGCACTAGGAGTATTTTTCCAGAAGGTTTTTCAGGCTCTAGGCTTTGAGGTCATTCCTCAGCTGCGTCAGCAGTTGTGTGTCCGTGGTGGTAAGGAGCAGTCCCTTGACAAGCTGAAATCTTGAAACTTTGGTGCTGCTGGAAATGTTGCACCCTGGTGGTTTCCTTTCAAGTGTGAAGTCTGCCCCCACCCCACAGCGTGTGGGGAAAATCTGGGCTACAGAAAGTTGTCCCTGGAGCGTGTCAGATTGAATATATTGCTGAAAAACTTCCCCATAAGAGGAGACGAGATTGCTGAGGGGGGAAAAATAACAATGACATTTGGAAGGGAAGAAGGCTGTAAATTTCCAGCGTGGAAAAGTGCCTCTCTGTCTTTGGAAAGCAGAATCAAAGCTAAATAGGGTGGGTAGGCAAGCCGTATTTCTGGAAGAGTAATTACCATGCAGTGCTGGCTTCCAATCTGGGATTGTCTCAGGCCGTTTAACGTAACCTGGAATTACAGAACAGCACGAATTCTCATTTGAAATTTGATGATGTTTAATTAAAGCCTGGGATTTTAAATTTAGTCTGTCTTCACTGGGTTTGGTTGGCAGCGTGGGCTCACTCAGATCTTCCTTAAGCCTCACAAGTGTTCTCTGCATCTGTGAGCACAGAAGGGGAAGAGTCAGGAGAGGAGGAGAAGTGTTGGGTCCCCTGCCTGTCCCCCATGACTGGAGAAGTGCCTTGCAGTGTATCTTTTCCAGCCTCCAAAACTCTGCAAAGCAAGTAAGGAGTGAGCAGGATTTTGAAAACAAGTATTGAAAGCAAAAACCTTCCTAGCTTCAGATGGGGTTTGTTCAGTTTATAAGACAACAGTTGCCTGTGTTAGCAAGGGACTCAGTTTAGTGTCCTATGTGTCCTTTCCAGTCCTGTATTCCTATAAAGATAAAACTCCCACACGTTTGGTAAGTATTTCTGATGTCCTTAAACATACAGTACTGTTTATTAAGCTTCAGATTCAACCCTGCAGCCAGCTGGCATAGGTTATTTAGCAAATATTGCAGGTATGTGTGCAGGGAAGACCTTAGACCAGAAAATACAGAGGACTTTTCATTTGAGTAATGTGGCACCGTCGGCTTCAACTCTGGGATTTATGTATGAGCTTTTCTTCTGGTTGGAAAGCACTTACCAGAAGTTTTTGCAGCATTTCTGTTCCGAGCACATTCATGGGATATCTGCCAGATAGTTTCAGTCATCCTTCTTTGGCTTCTAATGGAGAGCTGGTAGCCCTGGAGCTGGCAGATCCTTTAAAAACAAGAGGCAGGAGGCAGGCTCTCTCTGGATGTATACAGGAACAGCTGTTTCTTAGTACACCCAGACCCAAATAGACACTTCAGGTGAAAGGAAGACCCTCCAGCAGGGCTGCAAAATGGTGTTTATATCAGATGAGAAGAATTCAGCTGAAGTACTTAGTTCATCCAGTTCCTCTAAGCTCTCTCAAACCTGAGGGGATGCTGATACAGTGGGAGTTTGGGTGTTTTGGGGACACTGCTGTTTGCTGAAACACTGGGCTGAGACCCCAGTTGTCTGTAGTCTTCTTTTTCTCTCATTGCTTCTTGTCCTTGTAGGATAGGGCCACTGTCTGCCTGTACTCTTTGTGGGCTCTCTGAACCTGGACAACAGGTTATCACTGAGCCAGCAGTGTGCTCGTGTAGCCAAGAAGGCAAATGGTCTCCTGGGATGCATTAAGCAGAGTGTAACTAGCAGGTTGAGGGAAGTTCTTCTTGCCCTGTTCTCTGCCCTAGTGAGGCCACATCTGGAGTCCTGTGTCCAGTTCTGGGTTCCCCAGTTGAAGAGACACAGGGAACTACTGGAGAGAGTCCAACAGAGGGCTTTAAAGATGCTGAGGGGACCAGAGCATCTCACTTAGGAGGAAAGGCTGACACCTGGGGCTGATTAGTCTGGAGAAGAGAAGACTGAGAGGGGATCTTTTCAATGTTTATAAATATCTAAAGGGTGGGGCTCAAGATGATGTATGCAGTCTCTTTTCAGTGGTGACCATTGGTAGGACAAAAGACACAAACTGAAACACAGGAAGTTCCACTTAAAGATAAGGAGAAAACTTGTTTGCTGTGAGGATGGCAGAGCCTGGAGCAGGCTGCCCAGAGAGGCTGGGGTGTCTCCTGCTCTGGAGACTTTCAGACTGTGCCTGGACATGATCCTGGGCAACCTGGTCTGGGTGACCCTGCTTTGGCAGGTGGGTTGGACTAGGTGATCTACAGAGGTCCCTTCAAACCCCCACTATCCTGTGATTCCATGATTTCCCTCCTACATTGCTCAGCCTCCCTGGAAGGGGTATGACAGGGAGGCATCACCCATTCACAGGCAGGACCCAGGGACACTCTTTTGCAGATGCATTTACTGCCCACGTTGCCTTCCAGAGCTGACTTTGGATATGTGCATGACTTCTGAGTGCTCATGGTCAGTGGAAATGACTGCAGATTTTTTAAAGAAGGTGGTTTTTTTTTTTTTGCAGAGGTTAGAGCAAAAAGAGTAGTTGCTACACAGAGTGTTATTGAACCCTAGTGCTCACCTCTGGCTGTGACACAGGACTTCCTCTTGGCTTGTGTGCTACTCCTGGCTTGTTTTTAGGGATGGCTATGAAGGGGAGCTGAGGTGTGGGGTCAGGTATGAACGGGTGGCACTGCAGCTGGCACCACGTTGACATGCTGAGCAGAGCACAGCTGATGGAGGGGGTGTTCTCCACTCCAGGGTGGATGGGGTTGTGCTCCCAGCAGAGCATCCTCTGTGCTGGAGAGCTTCATGGCTCAAAATTAGTTTTCTGGAAAGAATCGGCCCAAGCCAGACCCTGGTTCAGGGCCCTGGAGTGTCCCTGGGAGCTGGGGAAATGTAGCCTCTCTTTATTTTGGTTTCCATGTCTAAAGAAGGGGAATATTAATATTACCAGGCTAAGACGGATGTGGTATGAGGTCATTGCTCAGCACCTGCCAAGATTTTTAGAGACAGAAAGTTCAACTTTCCATGAGACAAACAATACTTACAAACAGTTTACACATCTCTCCATAGTTTGGAAATACTGAACGTGGTGGTAGCTGTGGTGAATATTCTGTGTCAGGGTTATGTCTACAGCACCTAAGGCTGTCAGGTAATGCCCTTTTTTGGGCTTCTTTTGAGTGGCCCAGTTGAAATGTTATGGTACTATATGCCTCAGCTAGTCCTGAGGTTTACTTTGCTTAGCACCCAGACTGGGTATTTTTAAAAGAATGGAATGAGTTTGAAGCAATGCTTCCTTATGCAAGACATGGAAGGTTACGTTTGTTGAGATCATGTTGTTACTAATGCCCTTTTTTGGGCTTCTTTTGAGTGGCCCAGTTGAAATGTTATGGTACTATATGCCTCAGCTAGTCCTGAGGTTTACTTTGCTTAGCACCCAGACTGGGTATTTTTAAAAGAATGGAATGAGTTTGAAGCAATGCTTCCTTATGCAAGACTTGAAGGTTACGTTTGTAACCTTTGTTGTTACTTTGATCATTTTTCTATTGAAAAATAGGAGTTTTTTTCCTGGATGACCTTTCTTATTTGACAGCAAAGCAAATTACAGTGAGTCAGTTCCGTGATGCAAAAAGCTTGGGGTTTTTTTAATGTTTAAAACTGTAAGATGTCTAATGTTATTTTCCCAAGAGACTGAAAGAGCATAGGTAGCCCAGTGCAAATTATCTGGCATCACACTAAAAATCTTAATTTTTATAGTAATTACTCAAGATTCGTAGCTATGCTAAAGCTATTATAAACCAAGGTTTTACAAACTATTATGACAGAATGATACAGGAGTAGACCCTGTGCATTCCATGAGGGGAAGACAAGACTCACAAAGTTTGATTTGATTCTGCTCACAGCAAAGTTGTTAAAGACATATAGGTAGAAATCCCTAAAGAAAAATACAGAAGCTGAAGGCGAGTAAAAAAATTAATATTACTGCTTCTTTAGGAGAATCTTTGTTCAGTGTACACCTTGATGTACTGAATATTGATCAAACCTGTAACAATGACTTTACCCAGTTCCACTTGGGAACTCTTTTCATCTTTCCTCTATCCCCTTTTAAACAGTCTGGAGCAGAATGTACATTCTGTCATAAAAAAAGATATCAAACTGTTTCTAGCTGTGGCTGCGAACTCCTACAGGGTAAAGAGAGATGATCCAGACTTGGTCAGATGGTGAGAAGCTTCTCCCAGGTCAGGATCATTTGTATTACAGCACATTCTGCTCCTGCCCAAGCACCATTTTGCTCTTTCAGAGGAGAAGGTGAGCTGAAGTAAGCTGTTCAGTGGTAGCATGCTGATTTACAGCAGCTGGAGAGGTGGTTCAGAGTCATCAGAAGAGATTTCCCTCCCACCATGGGCAGCACAAGGGTGGTATTTAGGCTAGGCACTGACCTAGAAAGATTTCCTTACATCATCCTGCAGCTGGATTCACACCTGCCTGCGGAAAGCTGATAAAAACAAAGACAACAAGATGAGCTTGAAAGAGCTGAAGGACTTCCTGAAAGAAGTGAACATTGAAGTTGATGACTATCATGCCAAGAAGATTTTCCAGGTATTAAGAGCAAGCAGATAAAATAGTTGCTGTTGTCTGAGGTCAGAGACTCCTACAGCTTTCAGCTTTAGTTGGAGACTTAAGCTAAAGTGAATTTCTAGTATCTTTTCTTGTACTGAGGAAGGTGCTCTGCTGACTACCAAGTTAGGCCAGCACAATACTTCTGATGAAGGCATGTTAAGGTCTTTCTTTACCACTGATGCCCAATTTTGCCAGAATTCAGAGAAGATGTGATGCAAACATGGTTGATGTGAAAAAAAAAAGGGAAAAGCAAAGTTAAAGTCCACTTTGAGTCCCAGGTGTTTCAGGAGTTGTGGATGCCACTGCCACATGTCAATGCCTCAGTCTGGCTGAAATGAGTTTGGTTACAGTTATGAACCCAGTTCCTCACTTTCTCAGAGGAAGAGGGTGCCAAGTGGCAGGTAAAAACAAAAAGAAAATGCAAATTAGAAAAAAAAAAAAGAAAGAAAAAGAAGCCCAGATTCATGAGAGATACATAACATTGCACCCCTCTGGCTGATTTAATACCCCAAGGCATATTTGATATGGTCAGGGCCACACACTTCTAAATTCTCCAGATTTGACATGCTGGACAAGCCTATCAGAAGATAAGGAAGGGATGAAAATTTCTCAATTGTTAAGCTTTTGGTTTCTCTCTAAAGAA